TAATTTCCAAAATTTTCGACGACACAAATGAAAGAAAAATATATCACTTCAAAATAAACCAAACAGTATTTAAAAAAATAAAACCATTACACCTTTGACAATCTGCATACATTTTCTAATGTACAGTATGTCCCGGATTGTCTTTACAAGAGAAAAAACTTTTTATTATTCACATTTTGAGAAAAATGCATTCTCTATAAAAATTTTGCTTGTTCTAAAATGGTTAATCCCGTTTATACTTTTCCAAATTTCCATACCGTCGTTTTAGAGAAAATTGAGAAAAACTTGAAAATATGGTTGATTTTTTCCTAGAAATTAATAAGCATTTAACTTCGTTTTCATTACCTGATAGATTGTAATTCTTAGAATTTTATTTAACGTAATGTTTTTTGTTGTTTTAAATGGTTAAAGAAACACAAAATTTATTGAATTTAAAGCTATCGAAAAGGTGATAATAGTTACCGGAAAATGTACTTTAACAACAGCAAAGAATATGACATTAATCAAAATTAATAATAACCATCTATCAAGGAATGAAATAGAATTGATATTACCATAGAAAAGGTTTTGATTTTTAGGACTTGACTAAAAAATTCAACTATATTTCCATGTTTTTCTTAATTTTCTCTAAAAAGGTATGAAAATTTCTTTAATTAACCATTTAAGAACAAGCCAATTTTTTTTAAGAAGAATGCATTGTTCTCAAAATGTCAGTAATAAAAAAGTATTTCCTTTTATAAAGACGTTCCGGTGACATACTGTATAAAAAGAATCATAAATGAAAGAGAGATTAAAAAAATGTTTAATAATTAAAAAGAAAATAAATTATAAATTGTTTCAAACACAGTTCAAATGTTCGTTTATTTCAAATAATAAACTCAATACTTTATCAGATATTCACACGAAAAAAATAAATTGTAATAAACCCCGCAATTCTAGAAAACACTGCTGCAATTTGCGTCTCAATTAGTACTACGCATCACGTTGTAGCTTTTATTTCTATCAATTTGCAGATCTCCAAAATAGTTAAATATGCTTGAGTTTATATGAAAATAGCGAACAAGTGTGCAATTTTCACAATTTGTGTCAGAGAATACTCAAATTTTACTTATTGAAACTTAAATGAAAATAATTTTTACATACAAATTGTAGCACTACTAAGTATATTTTTTAACAAAATTTCCTGTTACTACGCACTATTGTAAAGTGAGCTGGAGAAGAATTACTGTTGGGGGTTGGAACCTTTGGTGTTACAACAGCAAAACAACTCACAATGTTGTAGTTTTTTCTTTTTAAATGTTTTTTTCAGTGCAATTTATTCTTTATTCAAATTACACATTGAATTCCTTCAATCTTTTTAAATAAGGTAAAAAATAGACAACGGGAATAAATAGGACACTTTAAAATAACCTAAGGGTCAGCAATGTACAAACGCAAGACGAAATATATAAAAAGAAATATAAATGAAAGAAAGTTTTTTAAAGTTAAAAAGAAAATAAATTATAAATTGATTGTCTGAAATTAAATAATACTAACACAGTTTAAACCGTTCTTTTTTCAGTAATAAACTCAATACTTTATCAAATATTCAATTTCTTCTTCGTTTAAAATCTACATTGAAGTCCTTCATTCTTTTGAAATAGCGTAAAAGATAGATAACAGGAACAAAGACGGCACTTAAAAATAAACTAAGGGTACGACTGTACAAACACCGGAAGAAAATCGGATGAGAAACTTAAAAATTCCACTAATTTTCCAAAATTTCCAACGACACAAATGAAAGATAATTATATCACTTGAAAATAAACTAAATATCTAAGGAAAATCAATTACATCTTCGAAAATTTACATTCTTATTAAAAGAGACACAAATGAAAAAAAGATGAAAACAAATCCTAAAGAAAATATATTATAAATTGATCGGCTGAAATAAAATAATACTCTCCAAAAAATTCCTATATGGGTATTTCGCCCACTGCAAGAAAATCTACAAAATAAAATAGTTATGTGCATGTCATGGAACACAGGGCACATAATAGATTTTAACAACCTCAAAATTATAATGAAAGAAGCGATAGCCTCTAAAAAAAATAAAAGAGACTTTTTAATACAGTCTAAATAAAAATCAATGTATTGCTCATGCATCTGTAGATGTTAGTAATGTACGGCAATCGCAAAGAACATAACGTAAATAAACATAACATACGTAAAAACAAAAAACAAACTAAAATAACCATACAGAAAGGTTGAAGGTTTTTGGTTTTACCTCACTAAGTAATTGTTATCAGGTAGTAATTGTTTTAAGTTTAACTTGATATAGTGTCATTTTAACAGAACATCAACGGTTTTTGTAGACGTAACTGTTTAAAAAAATCTAAAGTGTTCTAAAATAGTTGCATTTAAATATTTTAAATAGTTTTTTTTTCTTTATTCTTTGTATTTTTTTGTTTCCGACAACGGAAAGATATAAACTTTCCGAAACGTTAAGCCTTTTTTTATTCGTTAGGCAAATTTGTTTATCAGTAAACCTAACTGCTGACCATTAGTCTTCGTTCGATTAACGCCAGCAGTGTTTACAAAAAATAACTATTTTATTTTGTAGATTTTCTTGCAGTGCCGAAATACCCATTTAGGATTTTTTTGGAGAGATGAATCCGCCACATACTACCAGGTGTTGCATCGTCGGACGGGACATAGGAAATTCCATGTAAATTTTAATGGGGTAAATTATGGGCTTCCCTAATTATTTTAGAGAATAATTCTATTTAGGTTTATTGAAAAGCACTAAAACCCACATTCCAAAGAATAACTTTACATATTTTGGATTAGTCCGTTTACGAGTTAGCCGATTTCTTTTTAAATATTTCTCCTTTCTTATGGCCCTGTATTTACTTATGAGCACCAGTCAAGGTAAAAGATAACTGTCAAATAAAGTTGTGATTTCAGAAATTTACATATTTAGTGCTTTATTATTATTATTAAAAACTCATACCTACAGCGAAAATATTATCCATGAATTACACTACCGAAGAAAAAGTATTGATGATTAAATGGTAATATCAAGGAAATAGTTATCAAAAGGTGTCGGACATGTTTGCTGCTCTGTATCCGAATAGGCCGATACCTGGAAAATCTACAATCGCAAGGAATATTCAGAGATTTGAGACCAAAAGTACCCTAATAAATAACTGCAGATGTGCAGCAAGGCAGGAACAAAGAGAAGATGCAAGAAATGATACGACTTGGAAGTTTTATTGTGCGTGGAAGAGAACGATGGAAAGATCAGCACAAGAAAACTTGAAGATGAAATAGGAATAGATCACACTACAGCGTTTCGAATTTTGAAACGACATAAATACTATTCCTTCAAATATGAAAAGCACCAAGAGCTACGAGATGGGGATATGATGGAAAGAGCAAACACGGATAGGGAATTTTTAAAAAACATATGTTTCACTGACGAATGCACGTTTACCTTAAATAATGAACCCAATGTTCAAAATTATCGATATTGGAACAAAGAAAACCAACACAGGTTTGTCGAAACAAGGACGCAATATCCACAGAAAGTAACTGTTTGGGCAGTGATATTCGGACACAATATTATCGGGTCATTATTTCTTACGCGAAATTTAAATGCAGAATATTATTTGGAACTACTCGAAAATCATATTTTGCCTGCTTTACATGATGCCGCTAGGAAAAATCAGGAAGTTTGGTACCAAATGGATGGCTGCCCTCACATAGTACCCTGGCTGTTCGGGAATATTTATACAATAGATTTAACGGAAACGTTATTGGCCTAAATCATACAGTAAATTGGCCAGCAAGGTCTCCCGATATTTCGCCAAATGATTTCTTTCTCTGGGTCCATTTAAAAAACAGGATATACAAGGATAAAAAATATCCAAATCTAGACGAGTTAAAAAATGCTATTTCTGCCGAATGCAATAGAATTTCAGTTTACCAACTTGCGCATGTAATATGAGAATTTTATGACCGCCTGGGTTATTGTCTAGCAGTCGATGGAAGAATATTTGAACATCTTCTTAAATCCTAAAGTTCTAACAATTTAATAGTACCTAAATTAATAAGTTATTGAATATTGTAATAATACTATAATTAAGCTTGTAATTCATTACTTTATTTTACTTTAATTCATATTATTTTGTAAATACATTTTTAAGATTTCCGATGTAGGAATGAGTTTTCAATAATAATAATAAAGCACTAAATAGGTAAATTTCTGAAATGACAACTTCATTTGACAGTTATCTTTTACCTTGACTGGTGCTCATAAGTAAATACAGGACCATAAGAAAGGAGAAATATTTAAAAAGAAATCGGCGATAACTCGTAAACGAGCTAATCAAAAATATCTAAAGGTATTCTTTTGAATGTGGCTTTTAGTGCTCTTCAATAAACTTAAATAGAATTATTCTCTAAAATAATTAGGGACGCCAATAATTGACCCCATTAAATTTTACATGGGATTTCCTATGTCCCGCTCGACGATGCAACACCCGGTATGTTCTCTCTTGTGTGTTTTTTTCAGTGCAATTTCTTCTTCGTTCAAACTCCACATTGAATTTCTTCATTGTTTTTAAATAACGTAAAAAATAGAAAACGGGAACAAATAGAACACTTTGAAGTAACCTAAACGTAAGAAATGTACAAACACAAGACAAAAATCGGGTGTGCAACTTAAAAATCCCAGTATAATTCAAAATTTTCAACGACACTGCTCCCTCCGAATCCTAGACCCGACTGAGCTCACCAAAAATCACCGTATACCCCCGCAATGCGATCTTTGGCCCCACCCACTAACCCTACTCAGCACACCGACACCCCTCCCCTTGGCTTCCCCTCGCCCCGCCGCTCCATAAGTCGCGCCAGCGTGTGCTATACCGTCCTTAAGCCTTGTCCCCTCTATCAAGAATGCGACGAAGCATCCTTTTGAAATCTCTCGACTTGACTCATTCCTTGCCCGAACACCGAAGCAGGCCGAGATAAGACAATTGACGACTGCACGGCGGTACTACCTACACACAGACAGTTTGTCAATAGAGCAGGGGCTTTACTGGCTGCAGTCGTGCCGATGGTTTCAGTCCGTTTGTTTTTGGAACTTATTTAACACGTCGAGTTGTTTACCTAGTTTATTGGTCGGTGAATTTGGTGATTTCGGACGTGATTTTTAGTGTTGGCAGTGTTTTTTGGATTACTATTGTGACAAGAATTTTGTGTTAGTGTTGATTTAAGGCGAGATACAAAAGTTTTGTGGGACAAATAGGACAACATTAATAGACTGGTACTTTTTATGACATTATCTATTCGAGAATAGTGATTAGATTTCAACCCTTATAAATCTTCAGATTTTAAAGGTAAGCTATATATTCTATTTTACTTTTTTCAAAGAGAGATGAACAAGTGATTAAAGCAGAAACCTCATTCTCTGATTTAACTTTTTTTTCGCGATTTTTTTTTATTTGATATACACTCAGATGCAAAAAAAAAACGCAACAGAGAAATTTTTGTTCAAATTTAAAGTGTTATATTTTTGTTATTTTTAGCCCTATTGTATGATTTTTTTAGCAAACTGTACATAATTATATCAACTTTAATTCGTAAACTCATTTTTTTGTAAACTTTACTAATTGGCATATTATACAGGGTTAATCGAGGAGTTGTCTTTTTATCCTAACTTTAAAACACCCTGTGCAATAATTTCGTGTGTGAATTTTCCTAAAATATAATTTTACGGTAAGAACCATGTCTCCTGAGCATTTTATTTTTTGGATCACGTCAATGCAGGCTTTGGTTAATTTTTAAGAGCGAAATGAACTGATCACGATCAATTTGCAATTTTTTCTGTTATATCATTACTTTTGATGTAATTTTTTAAAAAGACGAGATGGGTTTTAGTGACTATTGTCCGTAACGGCATATTACGCTGCATCGGATACTCTATACGAAATTAAAAAAATGTTAAAAACTAACGATACAGTCCTGGTTTTAATAAACATTAATAACGATAACAGAACTAACAATATTAAAGACAACATCTGTAATACTAAAGTATACAAAGAGAGAAAAAAATGTAAAAAATACCCTAATACTTTGTATTGCCTACCCTGGCTGCTATAACTGCCTTTATACGTTTCTTCATTCTGTCATTGAGGCTGCATATATCATATTGCGTTATGTTTTCCCATTCTTCTTTAAGGGCCAAGCGAAGTTCATTTAATGAAGCTGGTAACACTTCGCGACCTTTAACTTAACCCTCCTGCCAATGATTTCCCAAACGTTGAACATGATGGGCAGTTCATAGTAGTATATAGTTCACAATAAAAAAAATGCTGCCTTGTCATGACATATTGAAAAAAAATTAAAATTGAAAAAATTGCAAATTGTTGATGGCAAGTTCATTTCGCTCCTAAAAAGGTACCAAGGCATGTATTGACATGATCCAAAAAACAAAATGCTCAGAAGACATAGTTCTGACCATAAAATTATATTTTAGGAAAATTTACACATGAAATTATTGCACAGGGTTTGTCAAATTTAGGGTAAAAAAACAACCCCTTGATTAACCCTGTATAATATGACAAATACTAAAGTTTATAAAAAACTGAGTTTACAAATTAAAGCTGATATAATTATATACAGCTTGCTCAAAAATTCATGAAAATAGGGCTAAAAATAACAAAAATATAACAGTTTAATTTTGACCAAAATTTTCTCCGTTGCGTTTTATTTGCATCTGAGTGTAGAAAAAAATTATAAATGTCAATTTAAAGAAAATATAAATTCTTTCGTAACAAGAGATGGTCTATTTATCCAATCAGATATTAGTGTCAGTTCGTGAAACATTGAAAATTGACAGAAGATTTTGATAACTTCTTACATTAAATCATTTTAAGAAAATTAGATAAGCCAATAATAATTGGTTAGCGATAAATTATAGTACCTACTATTATCCCCACAGTTTAATGGTACCTTCAAGGTAGAAAAATTTATTTCAGTAACTACAAACTGATTGTCCTTATATACTTATTGTAGATTCAAGAAGGTACAAATTGATGAAATAAAATTCAAATTTTACAATTATTGCAGGTAGAATAAAATATTGAATTGTTGCTTTTTGATATATTTGTGATCGCAGTTAGGATAAACAAATATTGAATTTCTATGACAATATAGCTTTTTTTCCGTACACACAATTAAAGTAAAAAATAAAAGTATTTTAAGTTAATGTCTCCTTTTTGCTGTTAAGGCTAATTGTTTACGCGGGATTCGAACTACGATCCTCGGCCATATAATCCCTACCGACTTGGCTAGTATCTAAATCAACCCTTGCTCACGAGATATTCGGTCTCATACCGACGTAAATGAGCAGTGTGTGTCAATAGACTTTACACTCTTGTCATGTGTCACAACAGCAAGACAGTGTTTCCAGACGGTCACCCGTCCATCCACTCGCGTCCTCTAACGTCACTTAACTATCTGTGATCTATCGGGAATCGTCGCTTCGATACTCACAATTAGTTACTGCTTCATGAAATGACAAACGTTTGGGTTGTCAAATCTTACAAACAAGTTTTTACTATAATTAAATTTAAGTTATATTTAAAAATTTTAAGTTTTATGTGAATCCGCAAGCCTAAACATTGGCGTAACTACAGTACGTAGAACATGTATGTTACTGCTGTGCACCCCCAGAGAAATCTTGAATTATGACTCTTGGCTACGTATTAATTTTTATTTATTTATTTATTTATAAACATGTACAATTATTATAATAAACTACAAACATGTTTTCAAAATTATCCCACATAAGATTGAGAGCTTGTGCGTGGGAATAATGATAATTAATAAAAAAAAAAGAAAATTGTTGCGTAGACTAAACTCTAGCAGTTATATAATAAGTTCACTATGTATAATCAAAGACAAGAAATAAAAAGAGTTACTTATTACTAGTCAAATAAATACTACCGATCTTGTCAGCACTACAAGGCACGGATATCAGAGAGTCACCAACAGAATAGATATATTGGTATTTAGATAATATTGCGATAGGAATGGTTTGATATTATCCATTTTTTATTAAATATTTAAACCGCATTATTGCGGCATTTTTTATATCCACAGGCAAAAGGTTTTATAGTTTTGGACCAATATAAAGTAAACAATGTTGTGTTAATTTAAATTTCATAAACGGTATGCTTGAATCTTGTCTTGAATAGGCTCTAGTAAATATATTGTTACAATTATTATTACTTGTCGATCTTTTGTATTTATGCATGTATATTATTACACTTCTCACGTATAGTTGTCTTATATCCAGTACCTGAAAACTTGCAAAGGTCTTCTTAGTGGAAAAGTGATATGGTTTAAATAGAGCTATTTTTAAAAGAATTTTTTGTGCTGTTTCGATTTTCTTTAGTAATGTTTTATAAGCAGAGCCCCACGCTGTAATGCCATACTGTAGTAAACTCTGACCAAATGCAAAATATATCTTTTTTAAGGTTTCAAAATTCATATATAATCTTAATCGAATGAAGAAATAAAACAGCTTTCTGATATTGGAAGTTAAAATGTTAATATGATTATTCCATTTTAGATTGCCATCCAAATGTAAACCTAAATATTTTGTAGTATTCCGATATTGAACATAGCCACCCTCAATGTTTATATTATGCAAGTTAGAAAAAAAAACTTTCCGGGACATTAAATGGAACTGCCACGGTTTTATTCGCATTCAGAGTCAGGTAATTCTCATCCAACCAACATTTAACTCCGTGCAGTCCTTGATTTGCCATTATGACCGTTTCTTGCCACGTTCTCCCTCCAAATAGGATTACGGTATCGTCCGCATACGATATCATGTTTCCATTATTTAGCTTTATTTCCAAAAAATCATTTAAATATATTAAAAAGAGAACAGGACCCAGAACAGTACCCTGAGGAATACCATAATTTACAAAATTTGAAGTACTAACCAACCCGTTAACTTTTGTGATTTGCACTCTTTCTTTTAAGTACGATTGAAAAAGTTTGCTTGTGTTCCCCAAAACTCCCACATTTTCCATTTTTTGTATAAGACGTTTGTGTGGTATCGAATCAAACGCTTTTTTTAGATCTAAAAACACTCCATTCGTCTTTTTGTTGTTATTAATATTATCATAAACATGCTCTAGAAGCTTGTTGATGGAATCACTTGTACAAGTGTTTTTTAAGAAACCAAACTGTTTGGAAGATATTATTTTGTATTTTTCTAAATATGATACTAAACGCGTTTTAATCAGTTTTTCCAGTATTTTTGTGAAATGATTTGCTTGTGATGTACTTAAAATGCAGTTTTCTAGATTTGTTTCGTTAATATTATTGTGTTATGTTCAAAAAATGTGTTAATTTTTATTTCGTTTTAGAAAATTTGTAGGTATATAAGTAATCTACGGGAACACGGTTTGATAACCAAGTCTATGAAATTTACTGATAGAGAAATTCATGTAAACGTTTTATCTTTTAAAAAACGAAACTTTTAAAAATGATGAATTGCTAGTTATGCTAATGAGCCTAAAACGATTTGTACAGTGTACAGTACACTAAGGATGTGTTTTACTACAAACAGTTAAAACACTAATTTTTAGATTAAAATATTCGTGGGTTTTAAACACATTATCGATGTTTCCACGTTCTTTTAAATCGTTAACCAGTCCTAATTGTACACTAATAGAAAGTCTTTTTAAACGCGGAACTGCTAAAGTTCTCAAATTACAAAAATAACAAATAGTCCTTTTTTTCTTCTATATCCTAATTAACTATATCATTTAGAATTGGACCCAGGCCAATTTAGATCGAGGCGTTAAGTTATAAGTTAAATACGTAGAGGAAAAGAAATGATGGGACGGAATTTTGTGGACTACATTCGGTAGGTGACAAATAGAAATATTTAGTAAACAAGGTACGATTGCATGTACAACTGCTTGAAGCATTGCATGATTTGGAACATACCAAGGGATATATAACAGATAATTTTAAGCATAAAATTAACATGAAAAAATAAGAAAATCACGAACATATTTAATATGCTTATTTAGTTGATAGAAATATAATGAATTTTAACGACACATTTTTAGTGTTACCTAAAGTCGATGTTAAGGACTAGAATAGTGGTTTATCTAAAAACATAATGTTCGTTTGAAATAAAACGAATTAGTAATAGTATTTCTAATATTTTTAAAGCGATACCTTTGTTGTACATAGAAAGTGCACTTCTCCATTTTAACAATTAATAAGTAGAAAATTGGAATTTTTGGAAGAGATATATAATATTATTTATATTATTATAATGGAGATTATAAATAATTTTATATTTTAC